TCCCTACAGTGATGAGTTGACCCTTGAAGGAATCAAGCAGTTTTTCGTGGCTGTGGAGAGGGAAGAATGGAAGTTTGACACCTTGTGTGACCTCTACGACACACTGACAATCACCCAGGCTGTCATCTTTTGTAACACCAAGAGAAAGGTACAGCAGCCATCAGAGGGAGGCATGTTACTTTCTGAGGGTGACTCAGACAATGCTGGGTTAGTTAAGAGGTCTGGTTGCCTCTCTATTTGGAAATAATTCAGTAAGAGCACAGATTAAACATTTGTCTTTGGGATGTGCCTAACTTAAACAACAGGGTTAGAGGCAGAGCTGATACAGCTGACAGGAATTGCCTTTTTAGAGAACTAGGTAAGAATGTGCTTATTCTAATAGCTTGTAATTCCTGAAACAAAACCACACTTTCTGAATAAATGCTCTTACTTCCTTTCAGGGCTTGTGGAGCCCTGTATCATATAGCCAGTGCTTTCTAAGGATTATTCACTTCTGTTAGTTTAAGAATGCCTGGTGAAGTGTCTCTCGGTCCTTACCAGCAACATCTCTGCAAATATTCTCTGAACACAACTGATGTGTTTGGCTGTCCCGAGCAGAGAGTTCACCTGGGCTGTTTGTGTTCACAGGTCGACTGGCTCACAGAGAAGATGAGAGAAGCCAACTTCACAGTTTCATCCATGCATGGGGACATGCCACAGAAGGAGAGAGAGTCCATCATGAAAGAGTTTAGATCTGGTGCAAGGTGGGGTCTAGTGGTTAGGGTGCAGCACTTTCACCGCTGCGACCCGGGTTCGATTCCCAGCCCCCCGGGCAGATGGAGCTCGTCAGCCCTGTGTGGCAATCCATCTAAGAGAAGGTCACTCTAAACAAAAACCTACGTTCTGAGACCCTCACTGCCACTGTCCAAGCTTGCTCGGCCCCGGCAGATGAACCTCAGGATTAAAGGGTGGGCTCAGTTCAGCGCACGCTGTGTCTCACCTAAAAAATCCACTGCGCAGGCTCGAAGGGTTAATGACCTTTCCCAAATCTTCGCTCGCGAAGACTGGCCATTATTATTATTATTATTATTGCTTTACAGCATTGCTACCTCAGAGTGGGGTTTCTTTAGTGTGTGAAGAGGAGACCTATAGTACCTCTCCTCTCAGAAAGATTTGTTCAGCTCAAATTAGGAAGAGCTCTGATTTCCATCTCTCCCCCTGTGGTGTTGCAGGGTTGGGAGATTACCACTTTCCTAGGAGGGATGCTCGTACTTCTAGGTGTAAAATTAGTCGGTTCTGTTTTGCCGAAGACATTGGGAGTTGCTGCATTTAAAATAAGGAAAAAATATTTGTGTTCTGTCCTCTGTATTTTAAATTGTTGGGAGCATTAGTCCTTCTAAAAGGTACTGTTGTTATTCCTTCTGCGTTGGCACTGCCTTCACTGAAGTTTGGTGATAGGCCGTGAGACACCTTTCCATGCAGCAAAAGTGTAGACACTGCTGGTGTGCTGTGGGCAAGGACAAGCACACAATAGCAGGGAATGCCCTGTGCTGGAGACTGAGGGTTCTCAGCTCTCACCCCTTTCGCAGTTGGGTAGAACAGTCCTAATTGTCCCTTCTCTTCGCAGCCGAGTCCTTATTTCGACAGATGTTTGGGCCAGAGGCCTGGATGTGCCCCAGGTGTCCCTGATCATTAACTACGACTTGCCCAACAACAGAGAACTCTACATACACAGGTACATTGAGCCTTTGCAGGGGGGAGTGCTTCTGGGTGACTCTTACCCAAGGTGGCTCCATTCCCTCTCTCCATCTGCCTCCACAGAATTGGCCGGTCAGGCAGGTACGGCCGGAAAGGTGTCGCCATCAACTTTGTGAAGAACGACGACATTCGCATCCTGCGGGACATCGAGCAGTACTACTCCACCCAGATAGACGAGATGCCCATGAATGGTGAGTGCAGCCTGCCCCAGCCAGGCTGTTACCCTGCTGCTTCTGAAAAGAAAGGCCAGATACTTTGTTTTGCCACATGCCTCTTTCCCAAGCCCAACCCATCTTGGCTTCCCCTGGGAAGAACCTGGGAGCAGCAGTAGGTGTGCTGTACTGCTGGGCTGTGGCTCTCAGCACACCTGGTGCATACTTTAATTCTTCCATTTTTTCTCATTTCAGTTGCTGATCTTATCTGAAGGTCCGTGCTCAACAGGAAGCTGTACCATTCGGTACCCTCCATAATTCTGTTTTGGACCCATATTCTTTTACCATATTCCTGGTCATATGTTCTTGAGTTGAGCTGCACTTGGGAACTTGTGTAAATATTGTCTTTACTCCCACCCATGTTTTTCAATTAAAAATTAAATTTTACCATAACCTATGCTTAATTACTTTAACCCAGAATAGTAACAGGCAGGGAGTGTTCAGATACTGCCATACTTGGCTGGCACAATCAAAAAACACATTGGACACTCCGCATATCTTGGTTCATAACATACAGGGCTTCCTGTGTTCCACCCTTTCGTTATTGTTGTGCCAGGCTACCTGATGTACTTTTTAGTTTCCGTAACTCTTAAGGATCAGCCACCTACTTGAAAAATCTGTGGTCTAGCCTTAGCCTGCTCTAGGAGAACTGGGTTATAAGATAGCCAGAAATTTCCTGCTCTTTATCTCTTTCTGGAGCCAGAAATCACTGCACTGGTTGCTCTAGATTAGGGTTTCCCCTCCCAAGGAACTTGGGCAGGTACTTCCTGAAGTGACAGAACACATATCCAGTGTTGTTGCCTTCTCCACCTCTTTTGGCTGCTGTAGCTTGTTACATCTTCCCAGTCATCTCTCCTCCTCTGTCTCCCTGTGGCATTATGCTGTACTTTGCTAGCTGTAGTATCTTCCACGTAGCTTTCCTTCCTTGCTCTGCTGTATCTCTTTTCTGAGGCAGGAGTTGGCCAGAGCTATACTGCAGGCATGGGGTAAATTACCATGTTCTGCTCTATGCTTTTGCTGTTAAATTGGTCTTTTTGCTTGCTCAGGGAGGACAGGGGCAGCAAGGCTGAATACACCACAGAATTGGAACAGCTCTCAGAACTCCTTTCCTGAGTAGTAGCAGAGTAGCCTGGGATAGAGAAAACAAGCATCTGTCATTTCCTTTATGCCCCCATGTATTCTGCTAAGGAAGTTTCTTAGTTCCCTTGTACCCCCTCTGTGCACAATCCTGTTGCCCAATGGAGGTGAGGCCACTCCAGCTTCATGCCCCCATGTGCAACCAGCAGCAGGGCTGAGCCAGCATTCCCATGCATGTGCTCATGCCATTCATACAGGTCAAGGTTCAGCACTGGCACAACAGCACCAACACCGACATCCTGCTCCTCTCCAGCTGATCAGAACGATGGTCTGTCAGTGGGAAATACATACACAGGCTCTGGATCCCTCCAGTTACTGGGCAAAGAGGCTCAGTTCATCCAGTATCCAGTCTCTGGATCACTAGTCTGCTCCTGTGACTGGCACATGGACATGGCCCAAAGCTGTGCTTCAGTTGCTAGTTCAGCCTACCCTTGCACACACCCCCTGTGAACACCCTTCAGCAGCTGGTCTCCACACACAAGTCTATACCATAATTGGTCCTTGGAGCCTCTTTTGCATCCCACAGAGGGAGGCCAACAAATACAAATGGATCCCAGTTAAACCCCAGACCCTCTAAGTTAGCCCAGATCTCCTCGTCCCTCAAGTTGCCTCAGGAAAAAACAAATGTGTATCCGGCCTAGATTTAGAATTGCTTCAATACCTGACTCCCAGGCCCCTTGCGCTACTTGGTGGCTAAATCCAGCTTGCTGTTCACAGAGCAACACACCACCTCACTCTTCCATTGCTGGCACTTGGACCTCTGTGCACATAAGCACATAGAATGGAGTCCCTTCTGCCAGGAGAGGTAAGAAATGGAGTTAACAGACAAGAACACACACCAGCAACCTGTCGCCACATGACCAGCCCCTTTTATCCCCTAAATCAACTTCCCACACTTGCTCAAAAGTCATCTTGACCCCTTCCTTTTCCCATCTTTGGTCCCTCCCACAAAAACTGAGGGGATTTTGAATTCATTCTGCAACTTGTTAGCACAGTGTTCATGAAGCCTCCCCCCACATACCCTGTTTCAGTTCTCTACTAGAAGGAAAAAGTGCAGCTAAAGCCTTCCAGCTTATTGTCCATATTCTGGAAAGTTCTTTTGCCATCACTGCAGGGCAAGCAGGGCAGAGCACAGCCTCAGATCTGAAGAGCACCCTCCTGGAGAACACAAGCAGCAAGGGCAAGCACGGCCTCTCCAAGCCCCCTGTGTGACTCAATCATTTGACTAAGACATTAATCACCAAAGCATTGGCTTGTTTGAATAACAGTATTTAATCTGTACAGTTTGAAAGAAAGTATCATAAAATGCGACATTCCTACCTCATCTTCAGCATCTTTCACCTGGAGCTGAGCCCTCATCTCCAGAGGGCAGGTAACCACCACTCCCCAGCAGTTCTTTGCAGTGCAAAAGTCACAGTGCAATTGCTTTAGTCCTAGACAGATGATTTCCCTCACTCGAGAGAGAGGAGACTGATGAAGCTCAAATGTTGATGAAAATTGTTACCATTCAGGAATGCAAAAAATCCCAGCTATTGCACAGAGCCATTTCCAGCTGAAACTACAGCAGTTAATTATTTAGCTGCCTTTACACTCCACACAGTTGATACTGATTTAGCCAAGAATGAAAATAAAGCCAGTAACAAGATTTCAGTGATACAGTTGTTGGAGGGCAGAATCTGACAAGCAACTCCTCAAGTCAAGCGTGCTTTAGAATAGCAGAGGTTTCCTACGCAGGGAGGGGGTATGATCTAGACAGATGTCATCTTCCAGAGACAAGCATGTGAGAAACATCAGCTTCAATAGAAAGCTATGAAGTACAATAGACAATTTGTTCATATAATTGTCAGGATAAGTATTTGACATAGTTTATGTAGTAGAATACATACTTGAACATCTTTTAAAAATAAGCACAGATTTCATTTCATATATACACAACTGATTTTAATCATGTACTGAAAATAAATTACAGGAAATAACTTTAAAATGCAACAGAAGACAAGAGTTTCACAACAAACATTCCCACTGATTTTCCCAAGGGGGTGAGAGATTGCAGTGCTCAAGGCAGGTAAATATCACAAATATATCAAAAAACTTCAAATTGTTGATGCATTCACACATTTACATGAGCCACAAACATTCCTTTACAGGAACTGCACTTAGCTACCACAGAACCAGGTTTTGCCATAAACTACAAAACTTTGATACAAAATTGTATTTATATATTTATATTTCATATACATGCCCTATCTGTGATTTCTTAAAAAATAAAAACTAAACACACTGTACAGACAATCCTAACTCATTGCTTGGTAGCTGTAGGCAACATTTTTGGATGGAATTTCTCCCCCAGTAGAATTAATGGCAATATTATATACATGAAGGCTAAACTGCAGAAAAAGACAGCTCAGTTCCAATATGCACCTCCCTCGGGACCAGGTCTGCGAGTTCAAGGCAAGACATGCTCTGCTCTGACCCACTGCCTCCCTTACACACCAATCCTGCCATCAGCAGCGTGAGGAATCAACACATGCATCTGTGTAACACTGGTATAAAAGGCAATAAAGCAAGATATGTATTGTAATGTAGTGGGTGCTCTAATGGCTCCACCGACTGGATACACAGAAACACTTGTAGAGGTGGCGAGGGGATGGTGCAGAGCTGGGTACATTTGGTGAGAGCACACCTTGTGTGGGTCTGATCACGACACTTCCCTGAAATCAGCTCCTGCAGAGGACAGATTCCCCCTGTAAGCCAGAGACTGCGTAGACTCAAAACACTGGGGGAAGATCCCCTCTTCCTCACCCCCAAACACACACATACACAGTTCACCGGGCCTATATGTAAAACTGACACCCTCCCTCCCACCCCCGGCGGCCTCCACGGCACCAGTTTGTCTGAGAAGCTGAGCACTGACAAACTTACTCTTCCCTGGTGATGGCAGCAATCTGTGAAGCCAATCACACTAAACTACTTCTACAGTTGATTGTAAACTTTGGTTTATTTTTATTTATTTTTTATTATTGAGTTCTCATGGTACAGCAAGCATGTCTAGGATGAGAGGGTAGAGTTGAAGAGGAGACGAACTGTCAGTCTGTCTTTAGTCTGGCATGGTGAGCCACCTGCTCGGTCAGGCCTGCTTTGATAGAGTTTTTTACAGACTGTCTCATATGATCCTCCATCAAATTATCACTCATGGGCTTCAACACCTGTGGAATGAGAAATGTGCAAAAGAAACAAGAAAATGAGGTAACCAAGGAAAAGAAAATATAAAACCATATAAAGAGATGAGACTTGAAATAATGAAAAAACTTAGAATGATGAAGTCTGACACAAAGTGGCATGAACTGAAAGAGAAATGAGTTTTGCTGCTAGAGTAATGAGGTTAAAGCAGTCACATGCTATTGACACAAGTGATACCCCTCCTACATAGCAGTATTTCACTGAATTCAAACCACTTTACAGTTCCTAGAAGATGGATGTGCAATTCCATACCCCATATGCAGCATCAGTCTGGTATGGTTACAGCATTTATGCAGACCGGCCCAGACGGTCCAGCTTATTGTCCTATATGTGTAAGTGTGAACACTTCAGATACAGAAAGAAAGTTAAAAATACTGGCTAGTTTTTCTTCTTGTTATTGTTGGATGAGAGTCGCTGTCGCGGCACTGATGTAAGAGCACGACGAATCGTTCGGCGTCTAAGGACTTCAAAGAGTTTGGAAAACACCTAAAACACGAATTCAGCTGTTAGGAAAAATGGCTCTTAAAACACAGCAGAAAGTCAATCAAGTTCAGAAAAAAAACCTGATTGCCAGTAACTGCTCACCTTCCTGGGATTCCTCTGAAGCAAGGAGGGAAAAGAAAAGCAGAGATTCAGAAAAATCAATAGCAAGAACATGGTATCTAATCAGAGCGGCTTAGGCAGGACCTGCAGTGCTTTACATATTGTTGGCAATGTGCAGCTGTAACAGCAACACCAGCGAGCTCTTTTGGAGATCACCTTCCTCCAGACCACAAATAGCATGCTCCTGTCAGCATAAGCCAAGTCTTCCCCCTTCCAGGGAAGGTAACAGTCAAATCAAGCCTTATGTGCTCTGGGTAACCTGCAGCAGCAGCTGCACTCAGCAAGTATTACACATAAAACTGACACCTTCCACTTTTCTTGAAGTGCTCTTCAGCCCCAAGCTCCAAAGCAAGGAGCTACAGTAGTACTGGAGAGCCTCAGTTTTAATCACTACTTAGGGGTGTCGCTCAAGGTTTAGTACTCTGATGCTCAGTTCCCTCCCACTATTAAAGATAGACTTTTTCTGCTGCAGTGTAACTCACAACCTTACTGGGAACCCCACTGGGTTGCTCAGACAGGTCTAGCATAGCACTGCCTAGGATGAACCTTGAACACGGGAATTTTTCAGCTGTAGAAGCATCTGTACAGAAGGTTCCAGTTAGTTATTTGCTCATGCCTCATAGGACACACTCAAATGTCATCCCAGATAAGCTCAGTGAGGCCTTTATTTCCAGTAACAGCACCAAAGTGTTTCCCTTCTACTGGCACTGGACACAGCTAGTCAAAATGCTCCAGAAACTACTTACAAGAGTTGGACAGGAATTCTCTACATTGGCCTTAGTGGCACAGCTGTGTCAAATGAATTCAGGCAGTAAAATCTCACTGCAGAAAGTTTTCTGCTCCAGCTCTGGTGCTATTAGACTCATGTCTTTTCTTTCAGGACTTTGTCTGTTAGGCATTGCTTGCGATCAGCAGTTGCACCCACTGAAGTTGTCACAGACAACACAAATCTTCCTGAAGGAAGAAACCTGCTGTAGCCCCCTTGCGGCAGCTGCTGCGAGTCATCACCCAGCCACTTCTCTCCAAGGACTAGTCAGCCCTTCAGCATCACATCAGGTGAGGAGGGCAGTGTTTTGCCTTTCCCATTTCTTGCACCATCTGAGATATTTTATCCACCACATCTATAGTTTATCTATACCTTTAAAAACAGAATTCCTTGCTCTGAAAAAGTAAGAGTCCCTCCACTCTACCATCCAAGCACCTACTAAGGCCTTAAAGTGACACTTCTTTTATAAGATCCTAACCTTGTTTAACATTCTTTGTGTGTGGCATCTCCTCCTGAAGAGAGCAGTCACACTTCTGAGCAGAATTCCCTTTTGGCAGCACTAGCATTCTCCATTAGGCCTAGACCAGCTTTTTACTCACAGCACTAAACAGAAACTGTTTGGTATGTCTGCTCAAGAAAGGAAGATTTTGCAATAAAAACAGATACCAACCTGTTCCCATATAGCTTCAGCAATCTGATCGATGGCTGTTCCAACTTCTCTGAATTCCCCAGAGTACTTAACGTATGCCCACGTACAAAACGATATAAGAGCCATCCCCAGCACGAGATTACACAGGGTAGCTATGGAGTTCATACCGAGGAACCCAGTCAGTCCTGAGATTATATACATGGCAAACATGACTGCAAATAGAGTGGCAGGGGTACGAGCAGCATAAAAGATGTTTTTGCCATCGTTGTGCTTCACAAAGTTTGCATAGATCTCATCGATTTCCACTTCAAGTTGTTCCTGGTAGCGCCGACAGAACTCCTCCCCTCCCATCTTCTTCACGGAGCGGAACTGCCTGATAGCAGTCTCTCTGAAATCCTGGTGCTTCCGCTCGAGGTCCGATGGGGCAATGTAAGGCTTATCTCCCCCACAAATCTGTTGGAGTAATCAGAGATCAGAGAATCACACCCTTGGTATCTTCCGCTGTACAGAAAGCAAAGCTCCCCTTCTCTCTGCCCTTCTCCCAGGCCAGCACCAGACTGCCCCCAGCAGCTCTCTTGGCTCTGTAAGCTCATAGCCTGTCTAGTGAAGCAGCTAAAGGTACTTTGCACCCTAGCACAGCAGGAACCTTACCTGTCCAACCACACATAGAGCTATAGCACATGACTGAACTCATACTTTCACTGTTCCAAGCCCAGAAGGATAGGACAACGGCCACATGCACATTCCCACTACGAAAAAGTGAAATAAAGGAGCACCAAGGGGTAGAGAAAACTTGACTTGAGGAAGGTTTAGGACTACTCTGAAGGCCACAAGCCATCTTTTTACTCCTGGTCACCCATCTCAGTGAGAGAGTCAGTGCAGAACTCGGACAAACAGGTAGATTCTGCCCACTCAACAAGTGTATTCCTGTTTATTGCTGCACTAGTAGGCTCCAAGGAATTTAGCAGGGGATACAAATTAACAAGAATTAGCTGCTGCCATCACTAGCCTATTCTTCCCTAGGTTGTCCTCTCTGCTTGATTCTGATCAACTTGTGCGAGTACATCCCTGCTTAGGGGACAAGACCAGGGACTCAAATGGATATGTGATGTGGACACCACCATCTTCCTCTCCCTGAATCAGCACGGGTATGAAAATGGTTAGACTCCGAGGACTTATACTCTGTTTACCCAGGCCATCGGACACACATATGGCAGATCAGCTCCAGCTCCTCCAGACCCTCACAGTTAGACTGTGTCTAAGAACTGGTAATTCTTTTTTCCACATAATGTCAAACAACAGCCTTCCCTTTCCTGCCTCAAAGTACTGCTTGTCATCTCGTGTCCTGAGTGCAGCAACAACTTTAACTTTCTGCTGCTGATATCCTTTCAGCAGTATACACAAGATCACTTTCTCAGAGTGATCCCTACCTCTCCACTCTCTACCTCATTAGATGCATGGCTTCACTGACAAGCTCCTTCAAGGCGAACATCACTGTCGAGACCCTGACACTTCCACTCTGCCCTTTGCTCAAGTTTAACAAGCACTTCTCTGATTTTTCCCATATTGAAGTCCTCCACATCCAGGAAAACTCTCCAGAAAATGGCCATTAGTCTCATTCTTCAAAACAGTCTTTTCACATTGCCCAGAGTGTGTTAAACACCACAAGCTGCTGAGGGGTCAAGAGGGCACCACACAAATAACTGTCACTGTTTCCTTACACCGTGTGACTGCACCTGTTGTTCCTTACATTTCAGGCCATTAGGGGGACAGTATTTTGGTTATGCACACTCAGCAAAGGAGGGCTTTGGTTCATGAGGACAACTCAGAAGCTTCAATAAGAACTATCTTTACATAATCAAGTCTTAAATCCAAAGAGTTCCCACTTCTGTTCTTAAAAATAGAAGTTTCAGAGCTGTGTCACGTTAAGAACATCATATGAGACATCTGGATGAAAAATGATTCCAGACATTTGTGCATATCTCTATGGTGGTATAAAAATATACAGTACTGGGGAACATTACTATGGAAACAAAGTCTGTTTAAAAGAACATCTGTTCCTGTTTGTTCCCTGCTCCAAGTAAGAAACCTTACAACTACAGTATCTCAACAACCACTGAGATTCAAGGCAGGAAGGCAGACTCGACATTTATTATAAACAACACAATTACTATATCAAGACACTTTCCAAAATGGAAACAAAGGAGTCTCTCTAAACCAGAAGAATGTTCTCAAAACTGCCTGCTAACAACTGGAATTGGCTTGTCTGCCAGTAGCATTAGGTCTTACTCTAATTTCAAAATGGAAACCTACTTGAGTAATTAAGGCCAGAATTAACCTAGTTAATGGGGAGCTATGTTTGTAGCATGTTATCACATAAACTGTTTTTTTCTGGTTGTAGTTTCACAATAAGCACAGTCCTGTTAACCTTCACGAGATATGTAATTGTTTTCAGAATTTCCTATGATAAAACCTTGCATAATGCTATACTGAAGAATGAAATCCATCCAGTCATTCAGCTTAGAATAGTACAGTCACCATCTTCAAGAGCAGAAACAAGTAGGAAATTACATTTACATGTTTTTCAAACTAATTCTTGTATTTCAAGGGTTTTTTTAAAACTTCAGAATCATATTAATCCTTGCGTTTTACAGCTAATGAATGACCACAATTCAGAAGCATGAGACTACAGAAGTACAATTCTACCATTGTGCAACTCTGGCCCAACAAATATCTCCTCACCTGCTTGCCCACTGCATGCCACAGGATTTTAAGATGCCTGTCAAGAGCTGTAGAGGCAACTGACAGGTGGTATTTAGGAAATACATCCATTCCCACACCTCCCCAGCCTGAGAGATCGCACTCAGAGCAGAGTGCAGAAAACACACGAGCCCTGAGCTTCTCTCCTCAATTAACGTGCTCATAACCAGAGTGCAACATGAAAACCGAAGGCCTGTATTTGCACGTAGGTGTTTAGAAAAGGTTGTGTCCCCATACCTGCTCCATGCCTTTACTGTACAAGTCTTTCGCTCCTGCCACAGCAGCAAGATTGTTCGCCTCAGCCGTTGCCTGGAAAACATCGAGCACTGTGTCATCACACCATGGCCAGGCAGTTACAACGTCAACATACCCCTGCCCAACCTCCAGAGCTTCTGATGGCCAGGAAAAGGCCACACTAAAATAAGTGGCAATATACATCAAAACATATTACTGCCTAGGAGGATGTTTTCTTCAGCTTTCTAGTACACCTGCAAACCAACCCCAATTTGCTTGTACAGGTTTTTCATCATGAACAATCTCTTCTGAATGCTCTATTGTTAATAAGCACATAAGGGTCACATGTTAACCTGTGAGGAAAGAAGGAAGGTGGTATTATTTCTCCATTATATAGGTATGGTTCTGGTGTCAACTGTAAATGTCAATTTTGTTAGAATTTCAGGCTTATTTTCAACCTGTGTCACGTCAGGAACAATTACTGCAGTTAATGCTGCAAGATGTTATCCTCTGTATGTCCCAGATACATTTATGGCATGATAAGTACAGAAAATAATAGTAGCCTTTGTTTCATTGTGATGAGTTTTCTGAACTCCCCAAAAAGTCTAAAGATTTTGTTCCTTGAAGGACAAGAAAACACCCAGAAAGGTCAGGTCTTAGTGAAGTGACACAGGAAGCTTAAAAAAAACCCCAACAACCCCAGTCTTACAAACACAAAATGGTTAAAACTGACCATAAAGCCCACTCTTCGGTGAAAGTTCTTCATCCCAAACAATTCCAGGGTTCAAAACAGAGTTTTATACAATCATTTTGTTTTCAGATTGCTTTAAAGATGATTACATCCTCTTTGGATCAACTCAGAAAAGGAGCCTCAATGCAGTCATCCAATCTAACAAACCCAACACAGAGCGGTCCAACACTGTGAGACAGTGGCCAGAGCTACATTACTATAAAGCCTTCTCCACTTCATTTGCTCCATCTGACGCTAAATGCCCTCTGAATACAGCGTGAAAGATACCAACAAAACAGCAAGTTACAGGAAACTTGGGCTTAGAAACCAAAGCAGCTAAAAACCCCAGCCGACCAGATAGACCCCTGCTCCATTTGCCTGACAAAACAGAGGGAAGACACAAATGTGTACTCAAGCATTACAGTTCAGATGGCTCTCAAAGAACTTCAACAACTACAGCTGTGTGTGGGAGCTTCGGATCTGCAGCAGTCATGAACTTCAGTTGCAAAGAACTTACAAAGTACACATCATCTAATCAGATTATTTGAAAGAAAAATAAAATACCTGTAGCATAGATTTCGGATGAGGTAGCTCCTCTCCTTGATAGATTTTAATGTAAGCCTGATAGGGACAAAAAAAAAAAAGTTTCTTTTTCTAAACATTTATGGTTAAGGAGAATGAGAAATGAGGGATGATACAGAGACAGAGCTCAGATTATTTCTTTGTAATAATGCTACATATTAAATTATGTAAATGTCTTAGTAAGTCTAGCATTTTTTCCCCTTTACTTTCCTGCGCAGGAGACTGGTTCCCAGCAGGGCACCAGAGAAACCTGAGGAGACATAGCCACTGTCTCAAGAAGTGACAGGCTTGACAGCAGGTTTCTGCTTCCTCAAATACATAAGAAGGTCTTTGCTAAAAGCAGGGAATCTTCATCCATAACAAAAGAGTGGAGATGACTATCTCACACAGCCTTTCTGGCAAGAGCTCTGCCCAGTCCTGGGAGAACCAATACTTGTATTCCCCCATATGCCTTGCTCTATTGAAGTGTGGGAGGCAAAAAAGCAGATCAAAGCACTTAATGCAGACAGAGCTGAGCTACCAAAATACTTCCGGAAGCTAAGCAGGCAGCCTACCCCCTGTGCCGCACCCTACCCATCCTCAGATGTCCTTTCTTTTCCCAGGGTTTCAGAGGGCTGGAATGTCTACTCCAGCCCACAAGGTGGCCCATGGCACAACTTTTGGGAACAGGTAAGTGGGGCACAGCAGGCAGCAGTGGCCATTTCAGTGCTCTGGACAAGCTGTGCAAGTTACACCAACAAGGCCACTCAGCCCCTCAGAGGTTGGGCCATTACTCTTCCTCATGCTATTATTGTTTTACCCCCTGGCTTGTCTAACAGCCTCTGGCCTGAGGATCTTCTGCTATAAAGGAGGAGAGAACAAGGTTATCAGGGTCCCTATGTACTCAGTGCTCGAGGTTGTAGAACAACCTACAAAAACATATAGAGTTATACAGGACTCCGTTCCCTTGACACCCTCCTTGCTTCTGTAGCTATCTCCTCCAAGTAAAAGCCCGACAGTCTCCAACTCAGGCTTCACAACCTCAGCTTCAGATGCACAGTCCCAAGGGAGCAGCCCTCTTTAGTTACATAAGCATGGCATTTCTGCAGCACACCACAGGACTGCTCCCAGACTGGATACAGGATGTGAATCAAGCAGCTTTATTTTACACTCAGTTTTTAGGATGCATCCTTTCTAAACTGCTGCTGAATGCGCACTCCCTGCACCGTAATGATCAGGTCCTACTAGAGAAGAAATTGGAGCAAAAAGCAGCATGCAGCCACGTAAATAGAGAGACTGAAACTCTGAGCTCCAGTGTTGATTTTATGCTTGTCAGAACAGCCACCATTTCTACATCCCATATCATGCCTTTCCTTTAAACAAGTTGCTTCATTTAACAAGTGAAGTTAAAAGAGCTCTGGCCTCAGATTTCTTCCTTGTATAGCTCATTTCTTAGCATCAGCTTAACTGTTTTACCTTGAACACACATGCTCAAAAGCAGCAATGCAAAATTCATGTCTTCAGGAAACAGCGGCACTCATTCTTACCAAGCCAACTGTCTAAGTTATTCCAATTCAAAAAAGGCCACACACCCCAGACTAATTCCTGGTGATGTACGGATTACCTTATCACATTTCTGCTGGTGTCACCATGATACAAAAAAAGCTCAAGACTAACAGCTGTAAGTATCACACACAAATATTTCAGAGCAGTGGTGCTGCACATGCAAGTGTCTATAAAGCACCTTCTTTGTACGTTAAAAATCCAGAGGGGAGTATCTGAAATTATCACTGCATACCCAGCAGTTTAGGAGCTGGTTTTCTATCTGTAAAGCTACATCAGACCTACTCTAATATATCAAAAAAAAAGCAAGCAAGCAACATATCCAGACAAACTACGATTTCGAAGTAGCAAAAAATATCTAATAAAGCTCGAAGTACTTCAGCCTATTTACAAAGAGAGAAGAAAAAGAAACACCAACCCACAGTTCTGCCAATAGTAGCTTCCTAAAAGCTATTCTGTTAGGAAGTAGTGTGCCAGTTCTGGAAATTCAGAATAACGAAATGAAAATAAAAGTGAGCTGATCAGCAAGTGTCAGCCTAGATATCATATCTTCTCTGGGAACAACATGGCCTAAAATTAGAATACTGTCTTTTAAGCTATTAACAGAAATAATTAGTATGAGTTTGCTTACCTTGAAGTATTCTACAAGATCTCTACAGGTGACCTTGGATCCACTAATCTCTTTTTCTACCAAGTTTTCAGGGGCAAGCAGTAATGGTACCAGATTCCGCAGTTCATTCTTAAATTCCTCATCTATATCTAGTAAAATTCAATCAATTTCAGGAAAAAAGTGGTTAGTTTTCAATCTTATATTTCCTAAAGGAACACGATAACCCATGATCCTTCAAAATCCATAGCATCACAACCCTCAGTTGCATTTTTAAGGTATTTAAAGGCTTAAATACATAGTATAGCTTTAGTAAGTTCACTTGTTCTTATCTACCAATCTTAACTTCAGATAGAGAACAAGCTTCCATTGTCCTTGTAATATTTACAGTGCATTTCCCCAATTATGCCAACATCTTGTACAATAACCCCTCAGCACAGCAGTGGTTGGCACTCCACCATCACAACTCCTTTCATAGCCTTTACCGTTCTGATACATTCCCTCTGCATCAGTTGAAAGAATCCTGACTGCCTCTCCTACTGCAGTTGCAGAATCCTACAGCTCTTATTTTAGTCATTCTAGAGCCCACCTATGGTTTAGCAAGTTCTTAGAGAAAAGCCTTTCAGGAAAGTAAAATCTTTAATTTTGCAAATTCTCCCCCTGGAGCCCTTAGTTATCTTTGGAATCTTTATTTAATGACCTTGAAATATGTCTCAAATTATCAGATTACAATCAACAGCTAGACACAAAGATATCCATTCCCTCTGCCTGCTTAACTGCTTGATCTTTAAAGCACTAAAAGGAACATACAGTGCATATTTCTAGGTTCTGCAGTTTCACCTTTTAGCCTTATATTTTTCCAAGCAGGCATTTCAATAGCCAACCATTGCAGTGTTTAACTTCCATCAGAAAAGAAAACAAACTCAGTGATCTGAATCAAGAAACACAAAATGAAAAGCTTCCTACCATTCAATCTCCCATCAAAATTTGGATTTGTTGCAACTTTAAGACCAGGGTGGGGCAACAGGAAACACCCAAGATTACTGAAACAGGAGTGAATATGCTTCCTTACATTCTGTAGCTCTTCGTGTTGGTTTTGCTTTACCTGAAGGGAAACAAAAAGGCAGTAAGAACTGCTAGCAGTTTTACAGTACTGCAATTAAGACTCAATATCATCTTAAAAGCAGTTAAGAGCACAAAAGTGTAAGTTTTAATTCCTGAATCTAATAACGTCAACTTTGCACACAAATGGAAACATCACAAGTGCATTTTATGAGCACAATGAGCCAGCTCATCGTGCATCATTACCTTGACAGCAAGTTCAGACTAGGACTACTGGAGACAGCTCACCTGCAATCTTTTCTCTAGGAATTTTTTTCCTCCTTCCAAGCCATATGCATGTTCATAAGGATAACTCCAATCTCTAATTAAGAACATTAATGTCTGTAACAGGAAGAACAACAGCAGTGAATGGCTTGCATCGTTTCTAAGGTCAAAAACTCTATCACACAGGTAATTATTTTGTGTACTTGGCTGCTCTAAACATATTGTACATTACATGTAAGTATATTATATAAATAAGGGATTTTGTGTATTTGACTGCTCTAAATGAAGTAGCCTTGTAGTTCTGTGGTGCCAGCTTTTGCTTGTTAAAAAAAAACACCAACCAAACAAGAAACCCACGAATTCAGTCCCAATTGTCTCAAAAAGATAGCTTCCCTGTTTCACAGGTTTGCCTTTTGCTATTCCACAAGGATTGCACTGTACTCTCTCCCAGCAGCTGAAGACAGAAAACAAACCTTCACATCACTCTTGTATCCCACAAGAGGCTTTACAAAGAACGCATCTTGTCTGGGACAATCACACTTGGCAGACACAAGAGTCCTAAAATTCACCACTAACAGTATTTAACTTGTACCCTTATAGGTCAAGGAGGACACTTCAGGATGGAAGAGATCTCAGTCACTGGCTTCACGAAGCAACCTCAAACCCGTCTCTGGCCTTGCAAACAATCATTTTTGAGACTTTTAACACTGAAGCCAATAATGCTTCAAGCAAATGACATGCAACATGGCTTTCCTCAATGCCATTTCCTAGAGGCCACGAGACCTTTTTTTCAGAGCCACGTGGCACCAGCAATGACCAACCACACCTCAGAGTAATCAGTAAGAAAGCAGCACAAAATTTTTCTCCTTAACACCTGCACTTGACACTTTGATTCCTTTTACACCTTATAACTCAAGCACAAAGCTATGTTCACGCAAAATCTGATCCTCTTCAGCATTTTTTCCATTGTGTTTTTGCCAAACAATGTGGCAATAGTGAAGGAAAATCAGTCTTGCAGAGAACAGGCTAGCTTCAGCCCAACTAATTTATCTCCATAAATTATCCTGAGCTCATTTTCCACACATCCAACTGCTTAAGATCCATTTAACATAGAGTTACCTGAAACGGCTTTTGGTAAATTTCTTCCATAGCTAGTCTTCCATATTCTGTAAACAACTGAAAGAAAGAAGAGGGTAAGGGTGTCACATATAAAACACATTTTCCTATCGTAAAATATTATGTCACTAGAAAATAAAGCATTCAGTCTTAAATCCTATTATGGACTGATAATGGCTAATAAACCTCAATAATGAGTATACCAATCCTCAGTAAAATTCAGGTAGGACACATCATTTCCATTGGATTCGCAGTGCCATTCCATAACTGTCAACACACCGCAGCTCTAAGTGGGTGGCTTGTGGGCTATTTTCAGAGGAAAGCTGGTTGCATCTTTCAGCAAGCCAGCTTCCAACACTTCTTTCCTAGGCCAAGGACGTAAGCCTGTCTAACATTTGCCCCTTACTTCCCACAAAACATTTATTCCTGGAAATCCCAAGGAACTTGGCTAGAGCCAATGTATCAGACATTTAAATACAAGCCAAGTTCAGCAGCTTCTCAGATCTCTGCTTGAGCCCATGACCTTAACTGATAATTGTTCCTTCCCTCCAGTATAAAAGCAAGTGTCAGCTGTCTTCCTCTCATTGCTTTCACCATCTTTAATACCAGCAGCAGCAGCATTCTTCACTGGACTGAGCAGGCCAAACAACCCACAAGAACATGAATTATGGACTGTGCTGGCTGTTTCAGCAGAGTTGATCCATGCCAGCCTCCTTGGAGGTCAAGATGAAGGAAGCATACCAGAATTCTCTAGTACCTGGCAGCTGTTGTTCTGCTTTAAAACTAACTCCTGGAACATCTCAGATAAGTTTCACAGCTGAAGGGATGGTTCCCTCTGTGTTGATCATAAAAGCATCTGAGAATTTAAAAGACTGGTTTAACACAAATCAACTTCCAAGCCCTTGTCCACCCTGAGCAAAAGCAGCTGTAAAGTGGTCAAGTGCCCATATGAGACTGGCTTCTTTGACCCCAACTCCTTACCTTGTTCACTTCCCTGCTACATGAAAAAGGCAGTCGGAGACTAACAGTAATTCAGAATTATATAAATTGCTGTTACAACAGAAACTCAGAATTTCCTTCCCTCAGACCATGATTCCTAGCACAACTTTAAATGCATGGGTGTCCCCTACCCACTGCTTATATTTATCATCCTTTTTTTCTCTTCCTTCCCTCACATCTCACCCTCCAGTAAAGGGATTGCTCTATTCAGATTCCACTGAGGCTGTTAAAGGACCAAAGTCATAAGGAAAGCCTGGCTTTCAAATAATTATCTATGGATTTTTTTGTTTGCAGTGCTTGGTTGGGTTTTTCAGGGCTGTGAGGGGTGTTGGCCCAGTGATACAACCGTGTTAACTGAGAACAGCACCACAAGATTATGTTTAGTTAGTGCTCTTCTACTTCCAGCATTGGCAGCCAGTCTTTTGTAGCACTGAAGACACATAGAAGAGTTTTAAGCTGTGACAAGGTCATGGTCTTGGCATTTGTTAATACACAAGCTAGTCTTTAAAGCTACAGGTTTTAAGTTAAGAAGATAAGATTCTTGCACCACTCACATGAAGCCAGACCTTTGACCACAATGTCCCACTAGAGGATAAAAAGCACATGTAAAGCGAACAGCTCTTTCCTGCTTTTATTTCTTAGCGGAAATAAAACTCTGCAGAAATTTCTCAGCTGAAAAACTAGAGATGGCTTCTGGGTAGAAGACACTCTTTCTGCCCTGACCCAAGTTTCCACGTTTCTTTAGAAACTGGTTACAAAATACCATCAGTTTTCCTATTATAGGGAAAAGGGGGAAACACTGGAATTTTGTCATTAAGCACTTCCATAAATCATTTTCCTTTCTCATTCCTTCAGGAATTTCAGAACTTGCAATACAGGGAACAAACTTTAAAAGAATTAGCCAGATTAGAAGCCTGTACTATTTTACCTCTGTGTTGGCCCCACAGAAGCATCAAAGCTTCACAAAGTTGATGCAAACACTGTTTTTACAGACAGTACTACTTTTGGCTTCAGTGTTTTATATGAAGCAGCAAGAGCTCCCAAGTCAGTTACATGAGAAGTAACTCCTAGAACAATGCCAAGACTCTCAGTTCAGGAGCAGCTTAATGTAAGTTCAGCATATTCTTACCTGCAAATGTTGAAGGTCATCTTCCTGAATATTCTGAGACAAGTTATATACCTGAAAGAGACAGTCAGAGAATTACAGTGTAACATGAAACCATTATTTTACATTCATATAGTTTCTTTTGCGTGTCTTGAGTATTTTTGCCCCCCAGGTACACAGAAAAGTCTAACTACCCAAAGGTCAGCAACTAGAAAGGTGTCATAGAACACATCTCAAACAAAAGTCACCTCCTTATTCAAAGTACTAGCAACAAAATCACTGATGACCACCCTAATCCTTCTAGAACCATTTCTTTCCAAGGAAGCAAACCATAAAGGAATCAAGGAAGAATGCTTCAATCACCACACAGGTGAGACGAGAATTAAGAAGGCCTGTTAGCCATCCTTGAGTCTAAGTGCTCTAGGATTCAGTGATCCAGCAGCTGTATCTCTGACACAGAAATAACCAGGTAGTCAATTCACCAGGCTTTTTTGCTTTCAAATCTTCCCAGAGAAATCTGGTTTCATCCAGGGAGATTCATAACTGTTTCAACAGCACAAATAACGAACAGCAATAAACAAAAAGATGCATCAACAACCCAAAACTTATCCTAACCACAGGAACAAACCAACCAAACAAACAATCCACAGGACAGAAGTAGTGTTCTACATATTCCTGTTCGTTTTATGTTGTAGCATGTCTGAAGAAGGTCACCCCTCAAAAACCTGTTCGCTTTTGGCACATTTAAGGCACAAGCTTAAAAGTAGCTTTGAGCATAACGCAAGAGAATTGTCAGATTTTTAACTGATGCTTTAACAGTAGAAGCAATTGTAAGTTTAGCTGATCACAGTATAACGTCACCCCAAACTGTATCTAAAGTCTTAAAAAAGATTCTGTAACACATCTGTACACAAGCAGTTGCTACTTTGACATCTTTTGAGGGGGAAGGGATTTCCCAGTTCTGTCAGCAATCTAACTCAGCTTGGCCTTGGATAACCTTGATTCCACTGAGAAACTTATGTAGTTTATGTACTACACTGAAAATAAGACAAAGAATGAAATTTTAAATCACAGTTGGAGGAAGGTGAACTTTCTAGGTGTGGCTTGAGAGATATTCATTGCCTGTTCAGGACAGAGGATTCCTGTCACTGCCATTATTTTCCAGCACAGATATTCTCACCTGGACAGAACTTGTCATGGTGCTCAGAGCAAAAACCGTTGCACAGTCTTTGATAGTGGATTGGCTATCAAAGGCACCTTGGGTATCCATGAGTAGTACAGCAACCTAGAGAGTTTTAAAGAACAGCAATAGTTAACCAAACCATTAACATTTTCATACTCCAGGCCACTGTGATAAATTATGTTTCAAGTAGAGCAAGTCTCTGCCCCTGCACCTACTTACTAAACCTCAGTCAGCTTCCTGCACACATGACACACATGCCTACAGCTGAGTAAGCAGCAGCCAGAGGGCCGTGTCCTCAGCCTTAAGTCCCTGGCCTTGCCTAGTTACCTTCTCCTACAGAAATAGCCTCCCTTGGCCCAGTGGGGCACAGTGCAGTGGAACTGACAGCTCTTATTCACTGGAAGAACTTCAGTCTCAGCTGCAAATCTATCATAGTTCATCAGAGCTAAGAGTGAGACGTTTACTTTAAAAAAAAATACATTCTTAAAATAATTATTTTCAGAAGAAAATAAGACGATGTTGACTGTCTGCTGGAATGACAAGGAATGAAGTGAGTGAAAAAAAAAGTAATCAGTCCAACTCCCATCTTTGGGATCTATTACAATTCCCTTCTTTCAGTTAGAGATGACTGATAAGCAAGAACAAGCGAGTGATTTGTTCCTGGAGCACAAGGAGATCCTCACAACACAACTGGTTTTTAACCAGAGAAATGTTTGGTTAGCTGTGAAATTTGTTAAAACTTCCTGCACACCACTAAGCCACTATTTTTAAGATCCATGTCCCATATTAATTGGGCATCAGATGTTTCCTTTGCAAATGTGAAGGGTATGAAATTTAAATAACCTAGAACTGACAGCTGAGAACATGAACAGCTCCAAATCACCACCAGTACTATGAAGTATATATTAACATTTACACTTTGTTTCTGCATTAACACCTCCGATCAAATTTTGTAGTTAAACTGACTTAAGAGTTAAAAAAGACACACCAGCTTTGACTAAAATGGGGTTAGTGCCTTTTTTCCCCACTGTTAGACTTAGTCCTTTTTTACAGACTGCTTGTCAAAACTATACAGAAGGACCAGCCCCCAGACACTGAGGCTGTTTCCAGTGCTTACAGCCATGCATTACATTTCACTAGAACACAACTACAAGATAGAACATATTTTCACCCCTCAAAAACCAGTGTTTGTTACAGACCTGTTTTCACCACAGCATTTGTCTGTATATGATATTTATAACCATTAAAGTTTTACAACATTCACGGGATAACCCACCCATCAGCCTGGATGGAGTAGACTTTGCCAGAACAAAGTACACTCAGAATGAGACTATTGTTGAATTTTTCTGCTGGGTTGTAATAATCAGTCTCCATCCTTTCACTAATCCTTACATTGATTCCAAATATGTTATGCAGCTTCTCAATGCAAAGGAAAGCAACCATCTTTGCACTGCCACCATGAAACCTATTATATACACCTACTTAAGTCACAGAATCATAAAAATGGTTTAGGTTGGAAGGGACCTCAAAGATCATCTAGTTCCAACCCCCCTGCCATGGTCAGGGACACCTTCTACTAGACCAGGTTGCTCAGAGCCCTGCTGAACTTGGCCAGAGACATTTCCTGGGATTGGCCATCCACAGCCTCTGTTTTGTTTTAAAAAAAACCTCCAAAACAACAAAAAAATCCCACAACAAAAACACAACTAAATGAAAGCAAAAACCCCACCCCACCTCCAAAGAAGACCATGAGTAAATCAAGGTAAGTCAAGCACCTACCTTTGTTCCATTAGGTTTATCAATTACAAACACTTCACTCCAAATCTGAATGCCAGTGGTTTCCCGTTCACATCCACCTCTCCATGTAAACCCAGTCAATGGCTCATTGTTTCCACCTATCCAGCAAGGAGAAGTCTACAAAACAAAAGGAAAAGCTTATGTAAAACCAAGGAGGAGATTTTTATTTTTTTTTAACATGCTATGTTTTAGCAGACTTCCACATTGTTCTTATATTTTCCTCAGAGCCATTGCAGTTGACAACACTACACAAATATTAAAACACAAAGATACTCTGCTGTGTTTCAAGGATCATCCACAAAGCGAGACTACTGCATTTCAGTGGCTGCACAACTTCTCAGTCACTGAAGAGCATATGTGCACAGTTTGAGTCTCCAGCACTCAGAGCTATGAAGAACAGCTCAGTTTTGTCCATCAATTCCACTCATGCTCTTCTTTTACAGTTGAGAAGACAAACACAGTAGCATGTATTTTAACTAGAGGAACAGCTAAACCTCTACAAGGGACAGAACCCCTGATCTTGACTTAATCCTCTCCCTTCCCCCTCACAAACAGCTGGCTAAACATTTGAGTCCCTGAACTAACAAAAGCCAGTAAAAGACTCCCAATGCCATCCTACAGAAGATACAGAGAACAGGCAAGGATCAGAAGATCTACAATCTAGACTTATCACAGTTACAAAATAGTTTCCCCTAAGTGATTAGGATTCGAGAGAAAAGGTCAGATTAAGAGTTGGATACACGTCAATCAACCCATCCATATTAAAATTTTATTGGGACGTTGCCCAGTTTGTGAAATAGTTGAGTACAGTTGGCAGCTAACATTCCTGGCTGAGGGAATTGTAATGAGGTCTTCAAGGACAGGCAACACAGAGCAGTGGCTCACACAGAAGAATCCAGCCATTATATGAGCGCGTTTAACTCAAAAATGTAGTTACTGTACTGGGCAAGAAAGGAGCATGAGCAGCACCCTGAGGAAGTTTCACTGTGATAGGTTTATATACACTGAAATCCTACACAAAAGAAGTGGCAGGCACACAACAGTTTAACTGATTAGGGAAGTTACAGAAAAAACTTTCTTTCACAGGCTGGAACACAGCACAGAAAGAGACATTTAATGAATTTGCCTCAAACTGTCCAGAGTAGATTACTAGCCAGGAAAGCGTCCACTGAGAAGGTCAAGGTGGAAACTTCTCAATTCACTAGGCTATGGGCTCTACATAGCTGACTCTGCACTGGCAGTTTTCAGAAAACAGTTCAAGATATTTCTTCACATTTCAGAAAACAGCGTGAGTACCCAGGGTGTGTAAGGAATAAAAATACTTTAAACATCCAAGTGGAAGTGCTTATTTCTAAAAGAGGATGGAAAAAACACCTGCACACTTTCCTTATGTCTAACAGCACGCAAGCAATCAAACAATTCTGCAGCAGCACTCTCCCAAATGCTAACAGTGCCCCACTCAACTCTGCTATTTGGATCAAATGTGAGACAAGCAGATAAAAATTCAGAAAATGAACACAGATATCCAAGTAAAGAGATCTACAGGTCTTTACAGGTACGTTGTTTGGATTTAGGGTTGGTTGGTTATGCATTTTTTTCCTTTTGTTTATTTTGACAGGATACTTCTACTTCTACCAGAGAGACTAAGCAAAACCTGAAAAGCTTTCCCCTGGACTTTTTATCCCAGATGATGCTTATGCTTCCATAGACCATTCTAGAAATCAAAGCTCCAGGCCTGTTTGTGCTTCAGGACACTCCAGGGTACAGTTCTGCGATGCTGAATCATATTTCACGTGTACATGTCAACAGACTGTGGCTTTTTACTTTTTCAAAAGAATCTGTTACATTATTCAACAATATGTTCCATTTTTCTTTTATACAAGAATACTTCATCCCATTTTGGTCCAGACATTATCTCCGTTTGTGACAATTCAGACCAAAACTATACATATGGTTTGAAAAGTCCCTCAATGAGCACTAAATACGATCCCATTTGATTTCATATGTGATCTGGACCAAAGGAGACTTTGGTGTTTTAACTGGCACAACTTCACCTGAAGTTGCTTCACCTTATGGACAATGCTTTTAAGCCTGCCTCTAACTGATCTCTGCATCAGTTTGAAGCACTCCTAGCTTGTTACCCCCATCTTTCCTTAGCAGAAACTCAGTATTTTAAGTCTCCATCCATCAAGTTGGCTTGAAAGATAATCAAGAGATGGGAAGAGGAAAAAAAGGCCCCTAAAAGATAATTTCTCTAAATTTATTCTACACTAAGGAAAGACCCAATGCAGCTTTATTTGCACAGTGCATTAGTACACAGTGCGCCTTGAAGATTAATTCAAGACAAGGTGACACCCCCGTAAAAAAAACAAAAAAAACTTTTAAAACTAACCTTACAAGTGTTACTGCACCCAACTCTTAATGAGGCTTAAGATCACAGGATGCTTGCAGCAGCTTGCTGAGCACACAACTGCTGCTGCTCCATTTCAAATGAGCAATCACTATAAGTATCAGTGCTTGAAATGAGATGTCCACCTCCCTGAAGTTAGTGAGCAACCTCAGCCACGCCGAGATCCCACCTGTGACTTCAGCTGGCACTAGTGAGATTTTCAGAATGGCAACTTTTCACATGACCTCCTGCCCTTGGTTTAAGATAAGAAAACAAGATTCTGAAGTTTCTTGGCAAGTTTTTCATCATGCATGTTAATATCCACAGGGCAGAACACCCCAAAATTGATTGATTAGCCTATGAACTGAATGCAGAGTAGCTTTAGTATTCTGAGCAGGATCCAATATTTAGCTCACAGAAAACACAGACTTGTAATTGAGCCTAACTGAAGATGGAGGGATCAGACTAAGTAATATAAAACTATACACCTCTCCTCCTGTGCTAAATTTGCATAAGCAGAGGATATCATTTGACTTCACACAACTCAAGAGTGCTCAAAAGAGCACTTATCCTCTCTCATCCCCAACTTCCATCAATCAGTTTGCAGTTCTGATGCTTGTCAAACTCTTTCCCTAGCCCAGTTTACATCACTGAGCTGGCAGGAAAACAGTTTGTCAAAGTGCAGTGTCTTCTAATGCATCACTGAGTTGGATCAGCTCTGCTAAGGGCCTGCAAGCATTACAGTTTCAGAATTTAAGTGCCTGGCCAGAAGCAGCACATGGAGAGCAAGACCTCTCTGCTTTTGTAAGAGATAGCTGTTACAGTAGATGGCCAAGATTGCCTTTACCTTCAGTTTAAGAGAAACAAGTAGTATTTTGAAGGACATCTACAGAAAACTGAGAAAAGTGACTGCACAATAAAGGAAACCAAAGCACAATACACAAGGCTGAAACTGCATTTCAATCTGCTTTGCTTTATCAACTTTTGTTTTATTTCACAATCTGAAAGTTAAGAGTATTTGCTTAAAGCCCAGCTCTCCTGTTTTTGAAAGGAATTAGCACTACCTCTACCCAGCCCAACACCTTGCTCAGACTGCTGTACTTGGGATTTTGGATTTTTCTTTTTTTTTGCAGGGGTTATTGGGTTTTTTGGTTGGTTTTTTTTTGTTCAGTTGGTTTTGTTTGGAACACAGACAGGACACAAGGTGGCTTATACACACACACACAAAAGGCCACCCACTGAACAGCTGTATCAAATGAAACATTTCTCCTCCCTAGGTTAAAAGAGTACTAAGAAGTTGGAAGCACCAGCTTGCTACTCTGTATTCCTCCTACCATATCCTCAGGGTCTTTCTTACAGAGCTCTTGCTAAATCAGTGAGGAATTCAATAGCAGGCACTACTGGCATTGAGGGAAGGAAGTCTTCATCTGCCAACTATCAGCAGTTTCTTTGCAGTACTCCCATGTTTCCTGTAACTGTAGAGTTCATCTTGTTTTTTACTCAAGCCAGCTAGCACAAACTCCAAAGAACAGTGACCAAAAAAGGAATCAGTTCTGGGTTTTTTTAAGAGGTTCAAAGAGCAACAAAACACTGACTTGTCAATATTCACTCTGCAGACTAAAAGGAACAGCACAACCTGTGACAGGCAAAAGTGTATGTTCACAGAAGACCCCACCCCGCCTTCTCCATATAAGCCAGGGGTTCAAAGTATAGGAGTCAAAACACCACCCAAAAGCTACAAACTAAAAGAAGAAATTAAATTTTGCATCAGGTATTCATTGATCAATAACTTCAAAGGATTTTAAAGGTTACTGGATTGTGTTCAGAGACACATTCCAAGTAGCAAACAGGAAACTTCCTCCTTTTTGCCATACATCAGAATTAAGCAGATTTAGTCCTCCAATAGCTCTCTGGTAAGACTTTTATTTTTGCAATAATGGGTAAAGTGAGTGGTACAATATGATTTCAGGAGATCAAGTCAAAGCAAGACTTCTCCAAGCCACCACATGGACGAGCCCTTCCCCAAAGCTCAGCTAGAAGGCCTCACATTCCCTCATTCAAGTTCTTCTCATGTCCACTTAAACCAGGACACCCATAAGTTCCCCTGACAACCACTTGACAGTGCAGAAAGAGTAACTGGCTTCCCCACCCACCCAAATGAGTAAGAAAAATTTGACCTGCTATATTTGTGCCCAAGTTAACAAATACAAAGGTGAATGACTAAAATACCACACTGCTTTTCTCCTGCAGGAAAACTCCAAATTACTCACCCTGTTATACATGTATCTAAGCATGAAGTCCAGCAGAAAAGATTTTCCTTTGCGGAAAGCTCCTGCTACAGACACAACTACTATGTTAAGATCTTTAATGTGTTCCTGAAGCAAGATCTTTTCCAATGCTGCTTCATCTAATTCAAAGTTATGGTCATCTTCGTGAGCAAGGACAATCTGTATGGGGCGCGGCTTATCCAATTCCACCTCGTCATCTGAGTCTGGCAGGGCATCTGAGTCAGGCAGAGCATCCTCCTCTTCTTCCTCATAATGCTTACCTGCAAATTGACAGGTGAGAACACATTAGAAAGTCAGAGCTTAGGGCACTAAACATGGTATTTTTGTGGTTTGTGGGGGTTTTTTTGTTTGTTTTTTTGGGTTTTTTTAAGTGAAGCCTTGAGCTGGGCTTTCATTTCCAGCAGTTGAAGTGATGTTCATGGGAATGCATGTGCACAGCAAAGAGATCCACAGTAGTTCCCTGTTCATTTACATCACCTTTGTGTATAGTCTACGTTTCAGACTTCAGCATTCTCTATGTTTAAAAAAAAAAAAATAAATCACAAAAAAACCTTGATTTTCAGCTTCAAAACCCCTTTTAAAAGCTTCTTAAGTATAATGTCTATTAAAAGTCAATGGTTTTCTTATGTGGGAAAAAAGGAATAGTTTAAAATAAGCTCCAAAGAGGACCAAAAAAGGCCATTTTGTTATCATCACCTTCTTATACTATTGTAAGGGAGTGGAGGGTGGGGAGAAATGAATGTTTTCTGTCAGTTTTGCTTGCCAACATGTACAAGCAAGACCACTGATCTAGTATGGAACTCCAGGATAACACACACCAGATGCCTACTCTCCTCTCTAATTCCAACACATGATACCTGTTTCAAGTCTCAATACAGGACAGACTTCAGAGCACCTATTCACTGTTTGCAAGAAGAAGATAAACTCTTGAGCATGTTCAAGGCCTAACACTCCTGGGATAAGAAAACCCAAAACCACTGGAAGTAGCGTCTGGCTTCATACTCTTCCTGTGACGCACTGTTAAGCAAGACTGAGTAACAACTCTTTCAAAAATAGTTGAGACTATTTTATACACAATTTCATCATAAATACCCTTTCAGGATCAACCCATAGCTGAAAGAACTGTAACTCAGATTAGATTTAAGTTACTAATGAATTCCAAGGTAACACAGCCCTTCAGAGATACACTATAATAGTACCAATATCCTATTTTCCTGACCTCTACAATTCAGAAGTTATTGGGTTAGAGGCTTAAAAGAAAACCAAACTGACCTATCCAAGATGAAACCTCCTCTCTTGTTCAAGCACCACAACATCAAAGTTTGCCCCACAGCAGAAACAAACTCTATCATTCCTGATCCCACTTTTCCTAGGAAACATCTGAAAGTGGTTTTGTGCTTACAGAACTGCCTCCCACTCCAGACTTACATTTTGCCACATTCTATTGGAACCCCATGTGCACAAACCTGATCAAGGCAGTTACTTATCTGGAGTTATCACACGGGAATTTAAGTACCCTGTCCCAGCCACGCTTGCAATTTCCAAGCACTGCTCTAACAAAGACAAAGCAGCTGCCACCTCCAGTTACTTGCTGCACTGAGCACAGGTATGGCACATGGCCCCCAAGCTTCCTGAGGAAGAGCAGCCCACAAGTGTTCTCTTGCAGGATGTGTCCATGAGGCACCATGGAACACACCAGTTTCATTCACTTATGGCAGAGAATCTGCCAGTACTTGGAGGATCTGCCAAGTCACTCTTGCCAGACTTTGCATCCAGATACCATCCTCAGCAAGACTTATGAACAGTGCTCCAACACACTCTGTTTTGTGGATGTAATGAGACATTTGAGTTGTGACTATGAACGTGAAAAACTGGTAACATGGTGACCCTGGAGTTTTTCCAGCAACCGCCTCTTTATCCAGTTCTGACAACATTTCATTTAATTGCAAATGGCGGAAGATGTTTCCGTTTCCAAGCATCAAATCTTGTGCTGCCTCAAAGGCCAATGGCACTAAATCTTAAAAAAATTTGGTTTGAATATATTAAGCTAGTGTGGTACTTGGTTTGAACAGGAAGTAAACTTGAATGCTTAAATCCTAAGCATTCAGAACTAAACTCCAACATTTTCCAAGTGGGTGTGCAGAGCAGCCCCCAGCATCATCCTAACTCAAACTGATTGATGAAGCAGGGGAACAAATTGATTATACTAGCAGGCCTGACAACTAGAAGAAGTAACTTTTAAAAGAGAAGTTGTCAGCAGGATATCAAACTATACAAACTACATTGACACAATATTGGTCACCACTTCAGAGGAAAATCTCTCACCTTTGGCCTAAAGCTTTTGTATTCCCAGATATTAAACAAGCACTCTTTTTTGAAAGAGTTTAGAAAACAGGCTTTGGCCCATATAGGCAGGATCCTTTGTAGGCCAGAAAACTTGGGAGGATAGCCCAGGTACGAAGGTATGAAGATTTTGACAGTCAGAAAGAATGCCTTCAGTGTCACAGCCTAGAAACATAAAGGGAATAATTCTATTGATAAAAGCATTAAAGTTAGATAGTTCCAAGAAGAGATGCCTGTGTTTTAGCAAACATATTCACACAATGTTTTGAAGACTCTGCTTCTAACACACGTCCCTGGCAACAAGTTTAACTTGTTGACTTAAAACAGCCTTATATTCTTTTATTTAAATGCAGTGAGGTATTGGTTTTGTAAACTATGGCAGACTGCAAAATAGTTTGAAGCTACATCTGTAGCTTTTCTTCATTCACTTGGAGCCTGACATTAACCATCTCGTCCTACCTGGAAGTCATCAAAACCCTGGTAAACCTCAAAAACCTCAGAGCTGCAACAGCATCCTTCTGCCACTGCAGAGCACAGCCACCCAATGCCCCTTCAGGCCAAGCAGCTTTCTGAACATCAACTAGAATGGCCCTTTATCATTAGTTATTTATAAACAAGCAGATCCTCCCTATCACAAGTAGACAGCACTATCAAGAGCTTACACACAATATGCCCATTAAAAGCTCACAACATCTTGTTAACAGCATTCTGCACCACTGAAGCTCATTAGCTCAGAGGGGACATGAGACAGGATTCATCTTAGACCCTATTCAACTCCTATTAGATTTCACTTACCAGCAGAAATTGGAAAGTCAAGTCCAGACCATCAAGTTTGTTTGTTTGGGGTCAGGTTGGTTTGCTGGCCTTTTTTTTTTTTTTTTAATAGCCAGCCTAATATATTTGAAAGTTCCCAACCTACCTAGAAAAAAGACCATCATTGTCATCAATCAAGCACTTCAGAGGGTGGAGAACTACAGTGCTGACAGCTGTGAAGGAAACTTGATCCATCCAGAAGAGCTGGTTTGATAACTTCATTCTTGAGTGGCAGAGAACACCCCTCCTTTCAAAATTTTGAACTAGTTAGCAATTACCAGGACAGACACTGCACAAGTTAAGCATGTGAACTATAGAACAAGTGCTACTGCCCGTCCCAGCAGCATAATCAGCATATGCTAACCTGTCAGGTGTTCCTGGCAGACCTCACAGCCTTTTGTGGTCCTTTATGCTGCCTTCTGGCTGCTCACCCTCTTATTCTGGCTAGTCACTGTCTCAGGCAGCACTGGAGTACTTAGGAAGCCTTTCTAGAACGCTTCAGCATCCTGAGCAGAGAGATCATCTTCCACTTCCAAGAATTACTTTCAGTGCAGTCTCTGGAAACAACGGTCAGGACAAGAAGCCCCACTTCACTGTCCAGTTTTCTGCAAAAGCATTGTAGTAAGTTGTCAAAGCAGTTCATAAAATAAACATGCTGATAGCACTGTCGAGCCAGGCCAGGAGATAATGAAATTCAGAACACGAAGCCCTGTTCCTCAGTTCTGCCCCCCTCCTCGCCTGCCCCAGCACAGTCAGACCTCACTACTCAGAATTTAAGTTGATTTGTCCTAAAGCCCAGTCTAAGAATCAGAGACTACCCTAGGTTCTTGCAACAGTCAAATCCCAGCAAATCCAGTATAAAACAGATGAGGACTAACTGCAGAAGAGGTGCCATTCACAGAATGACCACTTCTACAGTGAAGTGTTCCTAGCCAACTGGACAGTAATTTGGACTTGCAAAGTCGATGGCAGCCTCCCTATTATAGGCCTCCATGACAATACATTTCAGTACTGCTACAGAGGCAACCAAAACAGACCTGTGTTCGGTTGCGGGGTTTGTTTGGTTTTTATAGGACGTCTTAACACTTCAATAAGTCCAGTTCCACCCCAGTAATGGAGTTACCAACCCAGCACATCCAACCCCAATACATTCACATTGAGAATGGTTTTTTCAGAGGCATGTTTCATGTTCACAACAGCCAGGCAACGCTGCCTCCTGCCACAGTACTAAAGACAGGCTGGAAGATTCACCCAGCTCAGTCACAGGGTTGGTCTCTATGCTATTGGAAATGCGCACAGAAGACCTGGACCTCAAGCTTTTAATACATACAGAAACGCTCTCATCTGTTAAAGCGTATGGCACTAGAACTTGTAGCAGTGTTGCAGGCATTTTTCTTTTTTCAAGATGTTCATCTGACCTTCTGTACTACTGAACTGACAGACTCCAGACTATGGTCCTGTCTATTGCTCTGTCTGGAGATGATGCACAAACATCATCAACTGGACCTGCCCCTGAAGTCTGCCATCCTTTGAGGCCTATTACTGTGGCTGTTCACTAATCACTCCCTACTTCATTTTGGCTTCTTCCAACCTGAATTATTCAAATGGAACCTGTGGGCTAATGCACAGTTCTGACTGGCATAATCACTTCCTAACCTGGGTCAAACAGGGTAGGAGACTCAAGAGAAGCAACACTGTACAGCAAGACACAGAAGCAGACAGATTTGAATGGAAGCAAATATAGCCAAGATACTACCACTCAGTTTCCCTATAAACTTCTCACTCCACTCAGCAACAACTACAGCAGGACTACTGTTTACAGAGATACCAGCTAAGTATCCAGAACAAGCACCATTTGTTGAAATACTAAGCCAGATTTTGAGAACAGTAGCCTCTTGTGTAAGCAGACAGTATTTCAACTGAACAAACTCGACTAAATAACCCATTTCTTAAAGTATGAGGTAAAATGAAAAGCTAATTCCTGCTTCCTCTAAGTACACAGCCAGCAGCTGATGACCTACTTGTCCTGCAGTGTAAGAACACAAGAGTGAAAGCACTCGGCTACACCTGAGTGCTATGAAAATAAGAGACAGTCTGCTCTAAA